AAGGTATATAAATGTTTACCTTGTTTTTTAATATAGAAAGCTGTTCTATGACAGCCTCAGTCATAATTTCTATATATATCCTTTTCCATATCTTTTATGATTTTCGTGTTGTTATCAAACCACGAGTCATTTTCTAATCACAGTTGGTTTTCTTTTTGTTAAGGAAGAAGATGATTCCCTGTTTGATAAAGGAGAAGTGAATTTTTGGGCAGAGAAGCTGACTCATGTGAGACAACTGAGTAAGCACCTTCTACATCTTGTATCAGTGACTCACCTCACCTTACCAGATCATGGGGAGCTTAATCATCTATCAGGAATAGCACTGGACCAAGCCCAGCGCATTGAACACCTTCTTGGAGCTCTACCTCCAGTTCCAGAGTTCGCCAGAACTCCAGAATTCACAAGATTGGCTATTCAAAGGGAGAGAATATCAGTCTGTCTTAAAATATTAAATCTGCTGAAGCCTGATGACACTTGCAAAAATGAAAATCTGGAAAAGTAAATTACTAAAACTTCATCCTCAGGGAGCTGCACACATTACTGGATGGGCAGGGAGACTGTATTCCAGCAATGTTCAAGGAATCAGGGATTGCTGTGATGACTTCAGGAAACCTGCAGTACCTTCAGTATTCAGGCTAGAACTACATTTTTTGTGTTAATTAATTGTGCATTGATTTTTTTTAATGGGACGTGCAGTGGAAGACTTTTCCTTTTAAATGCATTTGTTAATTTCATTCAGCTGAGCATTGTTTATTACAGCTACTGTAGGAAGTAAAGCAGCTAAATTTAATATTTTCCATTCATCCAGGTGCAGGCCACCTGTAGTTCTGTTATGTTTTGTTCCACATTTTTACCTCCTGTATTTTAATACCAAGAAAAAGTTTATTTTTTTGGTCTCATTTCAAGATGTAGCTTGTGACTTATGAAATTAATATGCTTTTTAAAAACCTTTAAGTGTTTCTAATAGAAAAACAAACCGTGACTTCTTTGTTTATGGCAATTTTTAGAGTATATATTAAATTTTTCTGCATTTTCCTCTGGAGGAAGACAAGGATTTTCACTTTGGTAGTAACCTTGTTTTGCACATTGAAACAACACTAGTTAGATTTCTGCATGCCACTTTTCTCCTTTAAATCAAATAACTACTTTCATAAAATGGCTTTGAAATGAAGACTTGCTGTGTTCAAAACGAAGCAGCTGTTCCATTGCAAACAAAACAGTTCCATCTTCCCTTCAAACACCTTGCTCTGCAAGCAGGCCTGGAAAGCGAGTCCTGCCGAGGAGCAGGGAAGGGTTCCAGAGGTGTGTCCGTGCTGCTGCCCTCGCTTCTGGGAGATGCTGGAGATGCTCCACCAGCTGGGGCAGCTGTAGGGACTGTTCTGAGTGCTCCTGGGCCTTGCTGTGTCTAAAGCACAAAAAAGCTTGTTGTGCATCGAAAGGTTTCTTTCTCTGAGCTGGAATTGGGTTTTGATATGAAAATGAGACATCAAAAAAAAATAAACAGTGATGTGAAAAGATTGTGTTACCTTCCCATAGCCAAGGGCTGTGACCGGACGTGTGGCAGGGCCCGCCACAGCACGGATGTGCGGCCCTGTACGCCGTCATTTCGGTGTTCTTGGAGAAGAAAATGTCCGATGAACGCCTGGTTGCTTTCAGCCTTTCAGCTGATGGTGATGAACGCAGTTTAGCCCCAAATCTCGGTGCCGCCCAGGTACTGCCCGAGCGCTTGGCCCGCGGCCGGGCCCGCCACAGCAGCTCGGTCGGTGCGCCGCGCGACCGCCAGGTGGCGCCACAGCACCGCCGCGCATGGGCCGGGCCCGCGCTCCCACCGGTATACGGGATCGGGATCCGGGAGTGCCGGGATCGGGATCGGGCTCGGCCCGGACAGGGTAAGGCTAGGGCGGCGCTGCTCGCAGTGCTGCGGTGCCCCACAGCCGATCGCTGCTCTCTTGACTGTAGATACTCTGCTCTAAGTAGAGCTAAGCTGTCGAGTTGGGTCCAGTGGACAGCTGAACGCTGCAGAGTCACCACTTAAAAAAACCCAACAAACAGAATTTAGGAATAAAAGTGTAGTATTTGCTCTAAGTTTCCAGGATTCAGTGTTACTTATGTAAGAAGTAATTTATGGTGCAACTTGAGGCTTCAGTAGGCAAAAGAGAAATGCTGGAATCTGAAATGATGTTTCACAGGATGCTCGCTATCCAGCTTAACGAGCCATGCTGTGAGTTAGGCTAAAAATTAATTTGTATGCATCTGGTTTGAGCTCCTGGGGAAAGAATAGCCCAGATTGTGTCTGGAAGCCACTCTTAAAAAAATAGTCAAGACCTGTACAATTAATTAACAGCTGCTGATTCTGCCACATCTTTCCATCATTTCTGAACTAGTGTGGCAACAGATTCTGTAGTAGGAGACAAAAAGAACTTTGTATGTATCAAAATCACCGTAAAGTTCTGAGACCTTGCTCATGTCAGTGGGTAGCATAAGACTATGTAGTAACATTGGCTTCTTTTTTAACTGGGTAGAATTTAAAATGCATATACATATATACTTGATACTGGCAAATCGATACATGCAGCCAGGTGACAGCACAGTTATAGACCCACAGTGACTGTAAAACTCTGTGAAGCCTTGAGGACTTGGTTAATCAGTTACCAAACAGCTCCAGAACTTGGTCTTCCTTATTGTGGTTTTAAGACGCAACTGGAACCTCTGTCATCCCGCTTGAGTTTATAAGAGAGCAAATAAGAATTATATCAGTGCACATACATTTCACCACACGGTGCTGATGATGGGTTACTGTGTAACTACTCAATGAAGAACCTTTAGACCCCGAGGAGCGATTGCAGGAGAGAGAGAGCAAAACCTGATGCCAGAGCCCTTATCGGCCGTGTGTTTGATCAAAGTCAGTTTATCAAAGTATTCCTCCCAATGGCGTTGACACATTGATCCGTGCATGATTGTCACAGTAAACTGTTCCCTCGGTTGTCTGGCGGGCAGGATCAGCTCCGAGGTGATGTTTCCATCGCAGAGTTGTGTGGGAGGAGGAAGAGTTTGAACTCGGGTCAGTGCGGAGGCGACTCCGACCGGGCCCGGAGAAGGTTATGGGAAGCGATACGCGTTATGGCAGCAGCCCCGCGTTCCCGTGTGCGGGGTAGCGCCTGTTGCCGGGCCGGGAGCCGTGGCCCCGGCGGGGCGGGAGGAGGGGAAGGAGCAGGAACGTGGGACGTGTCCCGGCACCGCGGGGCGGAGGAGCCGGCGGCCGCTGGGGGGCGGCACGTCCCCGCCGGCCGGCGGGCAGCGGGAGGGGCCGGCAGCGGGGCCAGGAGCCGGCCTGGCCGAGCCCAGCAGCGCTCGCCGAGCGGGGGACGGGCCCCAGGGGACTGCCGGGACGCGAGGTCTGGGCTTTCCGCAGCCCAGCTCCTCGTCTTTCCCGGCAGATTTCGATCCCGGTTTCCGGGCTCGGCCGGCCGTGGGTGGCGGCTCCCGGGCGGTGCGGGGTGCGGGCGGGGTCCCGCCGCAGCCTCCCTCCCGCAGCGGCGTGCGAGGTGCAGGACGGGGGGAGGAAGCAGAGGAACGCGTGAGCCTCTGGGCAGCGGGGGGCGAGCGCCAAACCCGAGGCGAGGGGCTCTGGTGACACCCCCGCCCCCAGCCCGAGGTTCCTTTCCTCTGCAAATGTGTTTGCACAGCGCCGCGCTCCTGCTGACGTGGTCGGGTTTGGTCCCTTGGAGTGCGCGGGACTGCCATCCCGGCTCGGAAGCTGAAGAGGATCAAACGCCTCTGCTGGCTTTAGCGGCCATAAAACTTTACACGTCCGTCCGTCCGCCTCTGTTCTCCTTCCCATTTGTCCCGGGGCCGAGCAAACGCGGGAGGGGACGGGGGTGCAGGGGAGCCGCCGCCGCCGTTCCCACGTCGTGTTTGCGCGGCCTTATCGGCGCGGGGGGGGCGGGGGTGTTTTGCACGGCGGCTCCCGGCCCGCCTTGGCCGGCGGCCGGCTCGGTCCCGGGAGGGCGCCTCGCCGCGGGCACCGGCGGGGGCGGGCACCTGGGGCGGCGGCCGGGGGACTCGGAGGGGTCTCACAGGACCTTGGCGGGGATGAGGAAGGAAGGGGCCGAACGTGAAAAAGAGACGTGGGAGGGCTGCGGGGTGCGGGAAGGAGATGCAGACAGGGTTAGGTGGGGGTAGTTTATCAGTCAGGCCGCTGGGAGGATAATGCCAGCTCGCCTCCGCGCCTGGCTGCCAACCTCTCCCAAACTTCTGAAAGAAAGTAAGCGCCAAACCCGAGCTCCCTGAAAAGAGGGAAGAAGCGGCGGAGCGCGCAACCCGCGCCTGGCCCCGTCCCGCCAGCCGCACCGGGGCAGCGCGGTCGCGACCTTTGTTTCGAGCAATTACGTGGCAAAAGTTTATTTTCGGCGGGGCGCGGGGAAGAAGTGTCCCGGCGCTGCCGCGCCTCTCCCGCGGCCCCGCGCGTCCTGCCCTCGGCGGAGCCGCCACCCGGCCGGGGACGCGGCCGCCGTGCGCGGGCAGCGGGGGCGTCGGGGAGAAGCGGGGCGCTCCGAGGGGCCGAGCCCGTAGGGCGCCGTGAGCGCTGCCTCGGCTGGTTCCCCGCTCCCCCCGCCTCGTCCCGCCCGCGCTGCGGGCGCACTGCAGCACAGGCGCTCCCCACGAACCTGCCCCGCCGCCGCTGCCAGCGCCCTCTGTGAGACTCGGGGCGGCCCGGCGGCGGGGTGGAGCGGGGCGGGCCCGGCGGGCTGGAGCGGGGCGGGCGGAGCGCGGCACCGCCCCCGCGACCAGCGGCAGCCGCGTTTATATGGGAGCGGCGCGGGGAGCCGCTGAGTTCCCGCAGTTCGCCCGCTGCTGTGCAGCCGCCGTCGCCGCCTCGGCCCGGCACCCGCCGTCCCGCCGGGAAGGAGTCGGGACCGTTTCGGATCTCAAGCAGACGGCCCTCTCCTATTTAGTCGTGGCTTTTCCAAACCCTCCGAGGAGAGCGGGATCTTTCGGTCCTTCCTGTATATCCGACCATTACAGGATCTAGAAATGTCGACGACACTTTTATCTGCCTTCTACGACATTGACTTCTTGTGCAAGGTAGGGACGAGCGCGTTTGGCTGGGCGGGACGCGGTCTGCCGCCATGTGCACAGCGGCGCTCCGGGCTACCGGGGCAGCGCGGCGGGGCGGGAGGCCCGTGCCGGGCCGGGCTGTGCGGGCGGGTCACGGTCTGACAGCCGGCCGGGGACAGCGGCTGACGCAAGGCTGCGAGCCCCGGAATGCCGCCCCATGTCCTCCCGGCGGCCGCGTTCGGGGCGGGCTGCTCCTGCAGCCGCGGGGGAGCCGGGCCGCCCTGCAGCCCCTGCCCGCATGTTGCGCTGTTAGGAGGAACTTTTGAAAAAAGTTGCAAATGCAGCAGAGCTGGCGCGGGAGCTTCTCCCCGGCGCTGTGCTGCCCGCCGGCGCTACCGGCAGACCCCCTTTGCGGGGCGGCCGGGCGGCGCGACCCCCGCCTCGGCTCCCGCGGCGGTGGGGAGCCGTGGCCGTGGGCAGGCGGTCACCCGCAACTCCCTCTCTCTCTCCTGCTGTCTCCCCCACCCCCTCCCCTCTCCCCGCCCCGGCAGACGGAGAAGTCCCTGACCAACCTCAGCAGCATGCTGGACAAGAAAGCCGTGGGGACCCCGGTGACCCCTCCCAGCTCCAGCTTCGCGCCGGGCTTCCTGCGGCGGCACTCGACCAGCAACCTGACGGCGCTGGCCGGCGGCTCCAAGTTCCCCAGCCCTACCGGCTCCAGCTCTTCTTCCACATCCTCGTCCTCGTCGTCATCCTCCTCCTCCTCCTCGTTCGGCAATCTGAAGGAGACGGGCTCCGGCGGAGGCGGCGGCAGCAGCAGCCCCACGGCCCTGCTCAACAAGGAGAACAAGTTCCGGGACCGCTCCTTCAGCGAGAACGGCGAGCGCAGCCAGCACCTCATGCAGCAGCTTCAGCAGCAGCAGCAGGCGGCCGGCAAGGGGAGCGGCTCCGGCGGCGGCGGCGGGGCCCCCATCAACTCGACGCGCTACAAGACGGAGCTGTGCCGCCCCTTCGAGGAGAGCGGCGCCTGCAAGTACGGCGAGAAGTGCCAGTTCGCTCACGGCTTCCACGAGCTGCGCAGCCTCACCCGCCACCCCAAGTACAAGACCGAGCTCTGCCGCACCTTCCACACCATCGGCTTCTGCCCCTACGGCCCGCGCTGCCACTTCATCCACAACGCCGACGAGCGCCGCCCGGCGCCCGGCGGGGGCACGGCCGCCCCCCCGCCCGCCGCCGCGGCCGGGCCGCACCACCACCCGCACCACGCGGCCCCGCACCCCGCCGGCAGCACCGGCGACCTCCGCGCCTTCGCCCCCCGCGAGCACCCGCTGGGCGGCGGCGGCTTCGGGCACCCGCGCGGCGGCGAGCGGCCCAAGCTGCACCACAGCCTGAGCTTCTCCGGCTTCTCCGCCCACCACCACCACCATCACCCCCCGCACCCCCACGGCACCGCCCCGCCGCCGCCGCCGCCCGGGGGCCGCCTGGACGCCGCCCTGCTGGAGAGCCCCGGCGGTTCGCGCACGCCGCCGCCGCCCGCCTCCGCCTCCTACTGCGAGGAGCTGCTCTCGCCGCCCTGCGCCAACAACGCTTTCGCCTTCTCCGGGCAGGAGCTGGGCAGCCTCATCGCCCCCCTCGCCCTGCACACCCAGAACTTCGCCGCTGCCGCCGCCGCGGCCGCGGCCGCCGCCGCCTATTACCGCTGCCAGCAGCAGCCGCCGCCGCCCGGCGGGGCCTGCCCGCCGCCCCCCGCCTCGCCGCCCTTCAGCTTCCAGCCCCTCCGCCGCCTCTCCGAGTCGCCCGTGTTCGACGCGCCGCCCAGCCCGCCGGACTCGCTCTCCGACCGGGAGAGTTACCTGAGCGGCTCGCTCAGCTCCGGCTCCCTCAGCGGCTCCGAGTCGCCCAGCCTGGACTCGGGCCGCCGCCTGCCCATCTTCAGCCGCCTCTCCATCTCCGACGACTGAGGGAGCGCGGGGCGGCGGCCGGGGGGCCCCGCGGCGGCCCTGCAAGTAAGTTACCGAGCGAAGAAAGCGAAACCTCTCCTTCCTCTCTATTTTTGGTTGGTTTTATTTTATATATCTATCTATCTATACACCGAGAGCTGAACAAAACGAGAAACAAAGCATTTTGCAAAAGGGCAAATGACACGAACTGAACAAACCTATTTTTATAGAGAGACCTTGGAAGAAGGGGATTTTTGTTTCGGGGTTTTTTTGTTGTTGTCGTTCTTTGGAGACAAGTTATGATACGCACCAGCAGCAGCCATTCCATCTGTGTTCGAAAAAAAAAAAAGAAACAAACAAACAGCATTAGAAAAGACAGCACCAGAAAGCAACAAACAATCCGGGGAGCGCCGGTTCGCCAGCCCAGCTCCTCCAATCCTGCAGACACACAGAAAAAAAGTTACAAACTAGTTTGTCTTTCAATCCAGTTCAAATAAAAACACAGAACATACTAAACCTATAAGCTTTTTTTTTTTAGGAAAAAAAAAAAAAGAAAAATCCAACATCCTGCCAAGAATATGCCTTGATAACAACCTTCTTTTTTATATATATCTATATATTATTATTATAACAAATGCTAAAACCTTCATTCCAAAGTTTAATATTGGTTCCATTGCCACCACTTAGTGGATGTTTGGCTTTTAGAACAATTTTTTTGTTGTTGCTTTATTTGGAAGCACTCAACCGAGTTTAGTTTGTAATTGTTGGAGAATAACTGCTGATTTTTTAAAATTTTTTTTAGCTGTTTGAGTTGATTGCATGTATGAGTCACTGCACACAACTCAATATGAAACTATTTAACTTATTTATTATCTTGTGAAAAGTATACATTGGTAATTTGTTCATACTGTATTTATCGGGTATGATGAAAAGCAATAGATATATATTCTTTTATTATGTTAAATTATGATTTTCATTATTAATCGGCAAAATGTGGAGTGTGTTCTTTTCACAGTAATATATGCCTTTTTGTAACTTTCACTTGGTTATTTTATTGTAAATGAGTAAAATTCTTAATTTAAGAGATGGTATGTAATATTTATTTCATTAATTTCTTTCTTTGTTTACGTAAATCTGAAAGATTGCATGGTTTCTTTATAGAAATCGGTCTCGATGCTGTGGAAGTAGTTTGCGGAATTTCTATGGGTTTTTTTTAGAATGTAAATGGTTGTAGCCCGTCCGAGTTGAAAAACGAGAGAAAAGAGAAAAAAAAAGAAAAAAAAGACTGACTTAGCAATCAGACTTCAAAGTGGCAAATCTAATTCAGACTTGTTAAAAATAACCAAAAAGTATTTTTGTTGCCTAACTCCACGAATCACACTGTGATATAGTCTCAAAGTATGTAGCAATAATTGGGGGTCCCAGTATTATGTCTCACAGTGCCTTCTTGAGGGTCCACGCTTGCCTTAAATATCTCTCAACCAAATAAGTATTTTTCCTAATGCTTGAGATAATTTGAATGTAGGGATGGGTTTTAAGTACAGCAAAATTTTGCCACTCTATTTTATAAGAACAGAGGCCATCTTTGGATCTGAAACTTTCTATAATACAGGAACATATCTTGTTTATTGAATTCCAAAACCTGTAATTTTTTTTTTTTCCTTATGTAGAAAGTTGGGAGTTTTCCAAAAGTTTCCTGGACGGTGGATGAATGAGCAGTAGCTTAGTTTTGTTTGTACATAGGTACAGATTGAGCACTATGTACTCTTTTGGACTACTTTAACAGAAGTATGTTTTGAATGTAACTAAAGGATAAGTCAACTTGAGTTGTAATATATTTTTCGGGAGTCAGTTCACTACAGATTATGTGAGACTGTAAACTTTGTACTGTAAATGTTTTGTAGTTCTCCCAATAAAATTTTTTGGAAAAAAAAAAAAAAATCAACAACCCCAGTAACCCTTCAAAGTGCCCTGGCTGCCAGGCAGGAGTGTTTCTTGCTGAACACCACCGCCCCCAATCACAGATATGTCTAGCTACAGATTAACCAGTTTGCACTGCTGCTCCTGCAGCCCTCGCTGGTCCCTGGCCAAAGTTAATAAACGCTTCCAGAAGGTTCGGGAATGTCAGCGCTGTACTGTATCCTGCTTTGCTTTCCTTTTTTTCTTTTCCCTTTTTTTTCCCCCCCTCAATTTTTTTTTTTATTATTATTTTTAAGAGGATGGAGAATCAAGCCTCTGCTGCTTCTAGTGTAACAGCTGGAGTGGAAAAATCTAGCAGTGGTATTTATCAATCACATCGCTTATGGGGCTATGTCAATGTGCCATTAGCCTTCCTGCCTTGTTTGGGCTAAGGAGGAAATGGCAGTTTGGGTAATAAAAAGCCATAATTAAGGTTTACCCTTTGTCCCAAAAGCTTTGTTCCTCTTCACTCACAGGAATGCGGACTTCTGCCTCAATGCTCCCATCACCCAGCTGAGGGCATGTCTGTGTTAATCGGGCTAGCATTAAATGTGCTAATCAGTTTTCAGGGCCTGGGTTTTAAACAAATTACCTTTTCGAGGCTGTATTTATATAACTAAATACTTGGCAGCCTGGGGACTGTGTGAGTATTAATACTGGAAGAATTTTAGCTAATATCTCCACAGTTTGGCACCCTATTCCAATCAGTCCCCTAAACTTTTAAGTCATGATTTCTACCAGCTTATTTTTGTTCTTTTGTCATACTACTAATAAATGTTGTTAACATTATGGCATTTCTGTGCTGCCTGGGCCGCCACAGCACTTTCTATAAATACAAGATAGAATGTAATACCGGTGCCATATGTTTGTGTAACAAACCTTGGACTGACACTTAGTTTAAAATTAAAACAAACGTAAGCAATGTATGACAACACAGCCCAGCTACAGCAATCACCTTTTTTTTAATGGATCCAGTCTGACTTTTTGGCTCAGAATTGCTCCCTTTGATTTCCAGACTGACTTCTGATGAAACTTCTTTTTGTTGCTGTCTGCACAGTGGCGCTGAGCTCTGATGGGTCCTTCCCCAGGCATCCCTGGTACAGATGCTTTGGCTGCAAGGAGCAGGCCCATGCCAGTGTTTTGAGGGAACAGAGAGTGGCTGTTGGTTTGACCGGTGTCTAAGCTGATGTCTTAACTCACTTTTGGGATTTTGAGATTAATTTTCACACTAAAACTGCATATACAAGGAGTGCATGCCTCATTTAATGTCAGATTTTCTTTCTTCTCTAGGTACAATTTTTGCTTCTCTCACTCACCCACCCATTTCCCTGAGCCTGCCTTTTCCTTGCCACGGTAGATAAGGACCTTATTTATTTTCTGTATTTCCCTTATCTGGGACAGCTGTACTCGCAACAGTGCAGTACTTCCATCTTCCCTGTGGTTTTCTGTTGGTTGAACGGGACCTTGGTGAGGGTGCTGGGCTTGGCTTTGGTGTCTCCTGGCTGGAAGAGGAGCTCTGGAAGCTTTAGAGCAGCTGCCCCGCATGAATCACAGCCGTGCTGGTGTCAGTGCCAGTGTTCTGTGTGGTAGGGAGCTGCTGCCAGGACAGGAGGGGTGATGGCCCAGCGGTGTCTCCCAGCTGGCTGCTGGCATGCCAGCGTGTGGGGACAGCTGCTGCTCTGTGCCCCAGTGACACTGTGTGCTGCACCCTGCTCTGTGTGTGTCCCAGAGGGTGCTGCAGCCTGGCCACTCTGGGTTCCACTGCTCAGAAACCCACGAGTCCTTGAACTGGGAAGATAAAGCCTCTGTTTCTTGTGCTGCACAATCAAGTGTTAACCTTTAAACCGGTGACTTATGTTGTTGGCTTAAGCAAATGTTCTCTTGCTTTCATTTCAAAATTCAGCAAAGCGTGTAAAGCTGGTCAGGCCATTCAGAACTTTCTGATACATTGCAATAAATCGATAAATACTGTGTAAAAAATAAACTGGTTTTTCTTTTCAAGAGCTTTGTGTTAAGAAGGAACTCTGAGGTTTCTGCTATTGCTCATCAGAGTTGTGATATATCTCTTAATCACTGGAGCACTTAAAATTACTTTAAAAATCTGGAAAATGGGGCCTTTACTAATCATTGGTTAGGACTGAGGCTTGCATGCTTGTTTTATTTTATAGTCTGAAAGAAATTGTGTCAGTCTTAAACTGGTAGAAATGGATGTAATGGTATAGGTCTCAAAATAGGGTTTGATTTTAAATGGTTTGGTATGATCATTAGGAGATTTTCAAATTTATTGAATTAGTACTTTTAATTTTTATTCCCTAATCTTGTAAGGTTTTGGGGGCCTTTTTATTTGTTTGGCTTTTCTCAACTTGCCTGTGACAGGTATAGTGGTGTGCTGTGACTCCTGCTGAGTGGAGGGATTGCCCACCACCAGACACACTCCCAGCAGATTGCCATGGAGCAGGGGGATGCTGCTCCTCACCAGCTTCATCCTGGCTGAAGCATGGGCTGATTCCACTGTAATCCAGGATTCCCTTCATTTCAGCTCTAGAGCCTGGGGTGCAGAATGGGCTGTGTCACTGTGTCACTCGTCCACAAGGGCAGTGGCCACCGGAGGAGCTGGTGGCCACAGGTGGAGCTGATGGGCTGCTGGCTCCTCTCTGCTGTGCTGCTGAATGCAGAAGGCAGCAAACCAAGGGTTAAATACACAGGTAGGAGGGGAGCCCTTTTCCGGAGCATCATTTAAATGTCCAGTGCAACTCCACATCACTTTGAAAAAGAAGCTGCTGCCCTCCTTCCATTTACTGCCCCCACCCCATCTCATCATTAGGTGTGCAGCTGTGATTTTTTCAAAGAAAGGGTGCATTTGACAACCTTGTTTTCAAAGAAGGCCCAAGATTTTAGTTATGTTTATGACCAAAATGTGCTTTTATCTTTTTCCTTTTGCTACTATAGCATTAAAGCTAAAGGACTTCCACTCTATATTTTTAACAGTGTGGTCCATCTCTTCTTGCTGACCTTGAGTGAATATTTGAAGGAGCTTCAGGCAGTGGTGCTGTGTCATTAATAAGACAGGACATTTCAGGTTTTGCCTGCTGAGCCTACAGACCTTGGCAGCATATTAACTCTGGAAACTGAAACTTAATTCTCTGACCCTTCAGCTTAAGCTCAGATCCTCAGAGTTTTAAGGTGAAGATACTGGGCTTCTGGCTTTATTGCATCTGAAATAGTTACCTCTTCCCTTTGCCAAGTGTGCAGCAGGTTGGTACCAGTCCAGGGAGGGGCAGGAATATCCAGAATGACCACAGCCAGGGACCTGAGTGCTCGTCTGCTGAAGAAGTAAGTGAAGGACTGGGATGTAAGCTGCTTACTCAAGGTGATGTAGCAGTTTCTCCACTCTGCTCCTCC